GTTGTTGACAAATTTAGACAAGTCAGAATTTAATTAGTTTAAAAGGCATTACCAAAGACCTCAGAGAACCACTCCCTCACTCAGATACTTAGATGTTAATGCTTAGTGTGAAGTGAAAAAGTTATAACAGTTATGTGGAGCAAAATGTTAAACATCAATAATAATATTATGATATCATTGTGTTCATACTGATAGATTGAATTTTTAATTCAACAATTACTGATCAGGTGTAGTTTAAGATCTGAAATGAATCATTACAGGAAAAATATTCATTTTAAGCCTCAATGCAAAGTATAGCACACATCAATCAAACACTTTGGATTTAAACAGATTGTTCATTCAACAAAATATAATTATATGTTTATGTATTTAGCCGCTTGCTTTTGTCCAAAGCGACTTACAAATGATAATCGGCATGTTGCCCTTGAGGCTAACAACAACTTGACATCAATCATGGAGAGGAGGGAACAAAGGAGTGGACAGTAGAGAGGGGGGACGGGTGCAGGGAAGGTGCTAGTTAAGAAGATGCTCTCTGAAGAGCAGGGTCTTCAGGAGTTTCTTGAAAATTGAAAAGGAGGCCGCTGTTCTGGTAGTGCTTGGAAGGTCATTCCACTTTTGTGGAACGATGCATGAGAAGAGTCTGGATTGTCCTGAGCGTGGTGTAGGCACTGCTAGCCGACCATCCTGTGATGACCGAAGCGGCCGGGCCAAGACGTAAGCCTTTGCAAGAGGATTCAGGTAGAAGGGAGCCGTACCATCTCGGGCTTTGTATGCTAGTGTTAGCAATTTGAATTTGATGCGTGCTGCTGGTGGTAGCCAGTGGAGCTCAATGAACAGAGTGTGCTCTTTTTGGCTGATTGAAGACCACACGCGCCACTGCGTTCCGGACCATTTGAAGAGGTCTCACAGTACAGGCTGGAAGACCAGTTATAAGGGCATTGCAGTAATTTATAATATATGTAATATGTAATATTAATATATGAAGTTTTAAAGTCGTTTTTGTGAGCCAGGGAAGATAGACTTTTATTCAGAGAGTAAAAGATAAGAAGTTCTGCATCTTGCAGCCTTGGGGACTCATGCCGTACACAGGACTTGTTAAGAATATTGACTCAAGTTCATCTCTTCATATCAACACCATGGTGTCAGATTGAATCGTATTTAAGAGGTCTGGCTTGTAAGTAAAAAATTAATTTCTATTCAATTTTGATGAAACACGGCCTTTTGGTACACCCCTTCCTAGGGCATGGGATCAGGGGTAGAAGACCATGAGGCGTTGGACAACCTTAGAGGCCCTGAGGAATCAGCAGTGGAAGACAAGAGTTAGTTCTTAGGCACAAGAAGCAGCAGGAGTGAGGAAAATCAAACCCTCACACAGCAGAACAGTCAGTAGATATACAGTGAAGTACAGGGCGAGGAGGAGGAGTAGCAACCATTTTTCATTCTGACTTATTAATCAATCCCTTACCAATTAATAGCTACAGTTCATTCGAACATCTTATTCTTAGTTTTCCTAATCCAGATTGCAAAACTGTAAAACCACTCTTGTTTGTAGTTTTATATTGTCCACCAGGCCCTTACTCTGAGTTTTTGGATCAGATCTCTGATTTTTTATCTGATTTGGTGATAAATACTGATAAGGTCATTATAGTGGGGGATTTTAACATTCATGTGGACATTGAAAATGATAGCCTCAATGTAGCCTTTAGTAATACAGGTGCTGGCCAGTAAATTAGAATATCATCAAAAGGTTGAAAATATTTCAGTAATTCCATTCAAAACGTGAAACTTGTACATTATATTCATGCAATGCACACAGACCAATGTATTTCCGATGTTTATTACGTTTAATTTTGATATTTATAGGTGACAACCAATGAAAACATCAAATCTGGTATCTCAGAAAATTAGAATATTCTAAAGGCCAATGAAAAAATGTTTGTTTCTCTAATGTTGGCCAACTGAAAAGAATGAACATGAAAAGAATGTGCATGTATAGCACTCAATACTTAGTCGGGGCTCCTTTTGCCTCAATAACTGCAGTAATGCGGCGTGGCATGGACTCGATCAGTCTGTGGCACTGCTCAGGTGTTATGAGAGCCCAGGTTGCTCTGATAGTCGTCTTCAGCTCCTCTGCATTGTTGGGTCTAGCGTATTGCATCCTCCGCTTCACAATACCCCATAGATTTTCTATGGGGTTAAGGTCAGGCGAGTTTGCTGGCCAATCAAGGACAGGGATACCATGGTCCTTGAACCAGGTGCTGGTGGTTTTGGCACTGTGTGCAGGTGCCAAGTCCTGTTGAAAGGTGAAGTCTGCATCCCCATAAAGTTGGTCAGCAGCAGGAAGCATGAAGTGCTCTAAAACTTCCTGGTAGACGGCTGCATTGACCCTGGACCTCAGGAAACAGAGTGGGCCAACACCGGCAGATGACATGGCACCCCACACCATCACTGACGGTGGAAACTTTACACTGGACCTCATGCAACGTGGATTCTGTGCTTCTCCGCTCTTCCTCCAGACTCTGGGTCCTTGATTTCCAAAGGAAATGCAGAACTTGCTTTCATCAGAAAACATAACTTTGGACCACTCAGCATCAGTCCAGTCCTTTTTGTCCTTGGCCCAGGCGAGACGCTTCTTGCGCTGTTTCATGTTCAAGAGTGGCTTGACACACGGAATGCGACACCTGAATCCCATGTCTTTCATGAGTCTCCTCGTGGTGGTTCTTGAAGCGCTGACTCCAGCTGCAGTCCACTCTTTGTGGATCTCCCCCACATTTTTGAATGGGTTTGTCGTCACAATTCTCTGCAGGGTGCGGTTATCCCTAGAGCTTGTACACTTTTTTCTACCACATTTTTTCCATCCCTTCGCCTGTCTGTTAATGTGCTTGGACACAGAGCTCTGCGAACAGCCAGCTTCTTTAGCAATCACCTTTTGTGTCTTGCCCTCCTTGTGCAAGGTGTCAATGATTGTCTTTTGGACAGCTGTTAAGTCAGAAGTCTTCCCCATGATTGTGGTGCCTTCAAAACAAGACTGAGGGACCTTTTAAAGGCCTTTGCAGGTGTTTTGAGTAAATCAGCTGATTAGAGTGGCAGCAGGTGTCTTCTATATTCAGCCTTTTCAGAATATTCTAATTTTTTGAGATACCAAATTTGGAGTTTTCATTAGTTGTCACTTATGAATATCAAATTTAAATGTAATGAACATTGGAAATACATTGGTCTGTGTGCATTGCATGAATATAATGTACAAGTTTCACGTTTTGAATGGAATTACTGAAATATTTTCAACCTTTTGATGATATTCTAATTTACTGGCCAGCACCTGTATCCTAAACTCAATTGGTTTTACTCAAAGAATACATAGCTCCACCCACTCCTGCATTCATACAATGGACCTTGTGCTGGCTTATGGCATAGGGTGTGAGGAAATAACAATCTTTCCACATAATCCAGTCCTCTCGGACCACTTTCTGATAACCTTTGAGTTTTTTATAACTGAGTTCTCGAGACATGAAAGTAAATTTCACTATAGCCAGTCTCTATCTGACAACGCAGTTGCATCTTTTAAATCAACTGTTCCATCTTTACTGTCCTCAGCATCCCAGAGGAACGTAGCAGAGGGCAATATTTTCAGTTCTAGCCCCTCACAAATTGATGCCTTAGTTCATCATGTGAATTCCTCTTTACGTGTGGCATTAGATGATGTTGCCACTTCAAAAAAGAAGGTAATTAGGGACAGGAAGTTGGCTCCCTGATTCAATTCTCATTTACGAGCTTTAAAACAAAACTCTAGAAAATTGGAGAGAACATGGCGCTTTACGCACCATGAGGAGGCCTACCTACCCTGGAAAAATAGTCTTGTGCTTTATAAAAATAAGCTTAGACAAACTAGAACTGCTTATTTCTCAGTGTTAATTGAGGAGTATAAGAATAATCCTAAATTTCGTTTCAGTACAGTTGCCAAACTTACACTGAATCATAGCTCTGAACCATCTATTCCCTTAGCCCTCAGCAGTAATGACTTTATGGGATTTTTCACAAGTAAAATTAATTCTATTAGAAACAAAATCTTTAGCATCCTCCCTAATGCGATTTCTTCTTCCTCAGTAAGTGAGGCAGCATCAGAGGTAACTGTAGAACCTCATCTGTGTTTGAACCGTTTTGATCCAGTTGAGCTTTCAGAGTTATCAAAAATATTGGCTTCATCTAAACCTTCAACTTGCATTTTGGATCCAATCCCAACCAAATTATTTAAAGAAGCGTTTCCTTTGGTTACTGCCCCCATTCTAAATATAATCAATCTATCCTTAGTGAATGGATATGTACCACAGGATTTTAAGGTTGCTGTAATTAAACCTTCACTTAAGAAGCCTTCTCTGGATCCAGATGACCCAATGAATTATAGACCAATATCTAACCTTCCATTTTTATCCAAAGTCCTGGAGAAAATAGTGGCCATCCAAGTATGTGAGCATTTTAACACTAATGATCTGTTTGAGGAATTTCAGTCTGGTTTTAGAGAGTATCACAGCACTGAAACTGCATTAGACACCAACTGTCTTGGGTCTGGATTCATTATAAACTTCAAAGCAAAGCTACGGAAAAGCCTCAGCAGAGGGCTTCTTATCTTTGATATGGTGATGAACATTTGTTAGGAGACCCGAGCAGCTGTGTTTTTCCACGCTGCAAAGAACAGAAACGTTCCTGCTGGTTAATGGGATGCTAATTTGGTCAGGAGTTTGTAGCTGATGAAGAAGGTCATCTTGACTCTATGATCTAATAAAAGTGTTCACAGATTCTGTCCTGTGGGTCAGAACCCATCACCATGGAAACAAACACCCAGACTCAGGGTCAGGTCCAACAGTTTTGCCCTTTTTAAGTAAAATGCCTCTTTTCATTGTTTATTTACACTTAAAGCTAAAGATCAACAAGCTAACATTAATGGTCAACTCACTTATGACCCTTATGACCCCCCCCCCCCCCCCCCCCCCCCCCCCCCCCAGAGCCTGGCTACCTGGGCGTCAGAGAACAAGATCCAGTGCCAGCAGACCCTGGTGGACGGAGGCGGTCCCAAAACCTACTGGACCCGGGAGCTGAACGGGGATGAGCTGATCTTGGTGAGTGGTGTGTTTTTACAAAGATCAGGAAGACAGCAGACACTAAGGCCAGCTTTTCCAGCAGCCAGTAAGCTGCTCTGTTAGAGAACCCCCCCAGATTTACCTAAAGACTGCATCCACCCCAGAGAGCCTGAGAGGAGGAGCAGCTACATGTAACCAGATTCATAAGTACAGGAGACACAGCCTAATGCCGCACAATAGGATCAGAGCATGCTTCAGTTAAAGTCTCAGTGATTCAGTTCTCTCACCGTGTAACCCCCCCCCCCCCTCCTCCGGGGAGGAGGCGGGGCCAGGCTCAGCCCCTCTGACCCTCTCATGGCACCGACCAGCTGCCCTGGAGAGGCCTGCAGCGATCACGCACTGGTGGAGATCACACCACACACACACACACACCCACACGCCTCACACACACACAGACACACACACACACCTCACACACACACACCTCACACACATGCACGCACACACAAACACGCAGGAACACACACGCACGCGCGCACACACACACACACACACACACACCTCACACACACACCTCACACACACGCACGCACACACACGCACAAACACACACGCACAAACACACACGCACACACACACACACACATACACACGTGCATCACTTGTTTGTGTTGGCCTGGTAACGCTAGCAGATAGGTCATGTGACCACTCGCCTGAGACAGATGTTTTGTTGATGCTGCAGCAGCAAGTAAGCGTGAAGGACACCAGGAACACTTAGACGTGTGTTTCTGAACAAGATTCCTAAACATCCAGCAGCCTGCCTGCTGCAGATGCATCATTTAGGAGGAATACTATATAGGTCTGGCAGCCCCAGCTAACCCACCATAAACACGTCTCCAACGCTGCCTATATAAAACAAAAAGACAATAGCGCGACTGGCATGGACAAAAACAAAAGTGAACGCGCGCACGCAGCAGAAGCAGAACTAGTGGAATCAACCATCGGGATGGCTCCATTTCCACCTGGAAAGCAGTTGAAATCTTCTGTGTGGGAATATATCTAAAACATTCCCACACAGGAGTCTACCAGAGAAAGATGGGCTAAACCTCCTGATCCAGTCTCATTTAACACGCGATGAGCATTAAATGCATGTCTACAGATGATGAGTCATCTTTGCATTCAGAAAACCTCTCTTTGTGGGACAAGGAACCAGAGGAACCCAGCCGAACGCTGTCTGGATGTGAATCGCATTCATGCTTTCCCAAAGGTCCCAGATGTGGTGGCAGCTCCACATTCAGAGAGCTTCAGCCTGAGACATGAATCAGGATTATAGACACATGGTCTCATTGTGTGCAGCAGCTCATGCAGTAAGTGGGGCACATTTCCATAGCATCTGCATAATCTGTGTAATTGGTTTAGTCTTAAAACGGTTTCAAAGTTTCTTCAGCCTGGAACTGAAACCCCTCAGAGCTGGCTGCAACTTCAACTTCCTCCTAAAGCAGCCATCAAACCCATCTGTCTGTCCCCTGAAACCACCACAACATCATCCACAAGTCTGTAGACATGCTAGCAGGAGCTTTGTAGAGAAAGTGTTTCGCCCCACCCTCTGTAAGCCCAGAGGTAAATAAAACACAAACAAATCCTCTGTGTTAGAACTCTGATGAATGTCACACACAGCTTTAGTTTAACCCTGATCTGTTGTGTCTTCCTGCAGACATTTGGAGCAGACGACGTGGTGTGCACGAGGATTTACACAAGAGAGTGAACATCTTCCTCTGCTCTCAGCTAACTCACTAACTCATTTACCAAGTATTCTGTAAAACCTGCACATGTAAAAGCTTAGAGTCAGTCCTCTGGTTGTTAGTAGTGAACCTTGTGTCCACGCTATGCTAGCTAGATGTCTCCATGTCCACAACCCTGCTGCCAGTTGTTCATGTAGGATTTAATCATCAACCAGCTGTTCGAGAAGCAATAAAATAATAGAATAAACAATGAGACTCCTTCTTGTTTACGCCAGTTAGTCTGAAGTACATGTACATAACAGCAACCTCCCGTCACCTACACCCTCACACACGCACTGGGTGTTTGTCATTATTCTGTTCAGAAGAAGCATGATTCATTGTTGTTGTAAATCCTGCAACTGATTGTTCACACAGACCAAACTTCATCGCTACATCACCATGTAAAGAATGAGTGGTTTACATCTTACTTATGAACCATAAAATGTGAGATTCCATAGAAATATGAAATATCAATCTGATGGATCTTTGAATATTTTAACCAGAAGACCAGAACTTTTTATTGCAGGGATTAAGCGACACTTCTTATGAACTCCAAGCAAAGAGAGAGAGAGTCAGGTTTAAAATAGTCAAGAAATGTATTTCTACACAATTTAAACAAGACTAACTTTAACACTCTGTGTACTGATGGACTAAGGTGGAGTGAGATGTGAGATGAACGACGTATGTGTGGAATGTGGTTATCAGAACCAACGGATCCGCAGAATCATTTAGTTCTGAGTGGGAGTGAATGTTTCGCTCTAAGAAGGACAGAGGGGCCGATGGAGATGAGGCAGGGACCAGCAGAGTCCGGGGGCCTGCGTCCAGGGCAGAGGAGGCGACGACGACGGGCTCTTGGGGACCTGCGTCTATGGCAGATGTCCAACTGCTCACTGGACAAAGACTGTGCTGAAAAAGATGCAACCTTCTACTAAAGTAGTCATTCAACGTTGGATGCACATATTTGCATGACAGGATAAGGTTCAGTACCATTTTCTTGTTAATTAAATGTTTTTTAGGGTGAATAAAAGAAGCAAAGGGCAGCAAAATATGAAAAGTTGGCTGGCATTTTAAAGCCAGGCGTACACTGTGCAATCAGCTCTTTTCTTCTCGTGCAAGGATCTTTGAGATCAGACTGAGTCCTGTTTACATTATTAATTTGTTTATATTTTTTGCACCAAGTACATCATCATCTGCTAAAAAGTATTAAGCATTTCGTCCAGTTTAATTCCCGGAAAAACATTCAGTTGACATCGAAGCTCTTTCTGTTTTTAGAATATGTCTTTCGTAACTTTCAATAAAGAAATTGTGGAAAAAAAGATGACGCGACTTTAGGTCATGTGACTTCCGATTTCAAACAAGCCCTTCCGGTAAAGCAGGGGTGGGCAATTATTTTTTCCATGGGGCCACATGAGAAATAGAAAATATTGTGGAGGGCCAGGCCAAAAGGCTGAAGTCAATTATGCATAATATTAATGGCATTTCTTTATAAAAAGCAGTAAATACCATTGTTTCTTCAAGCTGGTAAGAGTAGACTATATGTTATAAATGAGCAAAAAGGAAAAAGTGAGGTTGTCTTACAAAAATGTGATTTATTCAAATTTCCCAAGGCAATGGTAAACAAAGCGCGCATTTGGTTTTTGTTAAACATTTGTGACTTATATTAGTTAACAGTTTCAGTCACATTCACTCCAAAACACATTCTGAGTTTCAAATATTGTTGGAAAGAGGTTCTTAGCATTCTACAGACACACAGTATCGTCTGTAAAATAAAATCACTGAACTGTGATCTTGAGAAAGAGGTTTAAAAAAAGTGTCCCAGTTCACTGCTAGTTGCCTACATTTGTGGTCCAAACACCTTATTTTGTGTTTTTAAGCAATTTTTTTCTTATTCAGTGAGAGAAATCTAGTCTCTGCTGGGCTTTAACGAGTGCATCAAAGTCAGGTTGAATGTCTGAGGTGGAGAAGCGAAGCACAGCTGACTAATGATCATCAGTGAGAGAGGATCTATACCTGGATTTTGTAAACTTCATCATTGAAAATGTTTGTTCACAAATGTAGGTAGAGCTGAAGAGAACCAACATCTTCTGAGCATGTCTCTTCAGGTTTGGAAAGTCCTCCTTAAGAGAAGAGTAGAAATCCAGCAGAGATCCTGAATCTCTGCTTTCAAGTCCCAAACCCTCTTCAGCACTTTCCCCAGGCTGAGCCAGCTGACAGCTGTGTGGAGTCCTCCAAAAGAGCCACAAACTGTCTGTGATCCATTGCCCGCGCCCTGATGAAGTTTATTATTTTAGTAACAACATCAGTAACATGGTTGATTTTTAGCACTGACTTGCACAACACATGTTGGTGTATAATACAATGCAAAAACACCTATTTTTGATCTGCATCGATTTCTGTCACTTTATCTTGCATGCGTTTCAAAAGTCCGACATTTTTCCCTGTAAAGCCGGGCGTACACTGTGCGACTTTTTCACTCGCAGCGTTCAGCTTCAGCTCAAACTGTACGACTTCCTTGCAGAGCAGATCTCACGAGTCGTGTGCTCACACTGTACGACCCAGTTCTCGTATGCGACCTGACTGTTCACACTGTACGTCTGGTAGCAACACTTCGGCCCTAAAAATGTGCTAAAAATAGCAGTTTTTACTCAACACGTCAGACTTGTTTGTCTTGTCTTGCCTGTTGTCCTTCGGGAGTGCTGCAGGAGGACACACAGGGATTTATGGGGGATGGATGAGGAAAACGAAATAAAGAAAGTAAATCTGTGTTTTGTGATCAGTTTAATTTGACATGAACACGACAAACACGCTTTCTTGACAATCTTTGTGAGTAAAAAAAACGTGTAGAAACAAAAACGAACAGCGTGTGTTATTAGGGAAATAGCGAGCGACCGGCGTTGATGCAGGATTGTGCATGCGCCGTGAGCGGTTCTGATACTTTTTGGGTTGCAGCTGCTCGCAGCGCCGCTTCAACAGTGCGATACCCTCACGAGGGACGAGCGAAATATTAAACACACCAGAAGTCCGTGCGACCACACGACTGCTGATCGGCGGCTGGTCACGTGGTGTTAATCGCCTCTCGTAACCCCCTGTACACTACACGGCCGCTCGGCGCAAAACTCGCCCCGATGTCGTGGCTTCTCGCACGACTGGAAAATCGGCTCAAAAAAGTGAAAAAGTCGCACAGTGTACGCCCGGCTTAAGATTTGGACAACCGTCTGTTGTGACACCTGACAGTCTCTCCCATTTCAATCCCAGAGTGTCCGTGCACGCATTTACCTCTGTAAAAAGATCACTCCCTGTCGTTGTCCCTTTCATCGACCGCATTGCTGCCCGCTCCTCTGTGAGCTTGAAGTCCGTTATCCCCGGACAAATACGAGCAGCTGGGCTGTGTCCCGGACATCACAGCTCCCGTCTAATGAGAAAAAGTCCAAACTTGCCACTTCACGTTGCAGCTGAAGCTCCAGGTTCCCCGCAATGTCCTCGATCCTCCTGGTCACGGTTCACCTGGACAGCGGGATTTGCTCAAATGCGCCTTTTTTTTCAGGGCATATTAGTGCGGCAGAGTCCACCATGCACTCTTTGACAAACTCTCCCTCCGAAAACGGCTTGCTGTTTCTAGCTATTTTGTGGGATATATCACAAAGCTGGTCCTGGTTGCTGCATCCCTGGATGTGTGAAGCTTAGTAAAAAAGCCTTGCTGCTTTTGCAACTTTGCTAGCAAAGCTTCGGATGTCCGTGCCCTCTCAGCATCAGACAAGTTCTTGTATTTTTCTGAGTGTTTCTTGTCGTAATGCCGACTCAAATTGTAGTCCTTAAACACGGCAATCTCCTCCCCGCAAACCAAACACACGGCTTTACCTCCGACTTCAGTAAAAAAAATACTTAGCAGTCCAATTTTTGTTGAAAATCCTGTATTTGGCATCTTACTTTTTTTTTTTTTGCATGAGCGGACATTTCTCAGGCTACAATCACCATGTCAACCGCGGGCACTTGTTGCTATACGTATTGCGTCATTGTGCACGTAAAAAACAACTTCAAAATAAAAGCAATGCAGCCTTAGCCCATGCATGAGGTAAAATGAGAAAATACATTTATTTTGTAATTTCCAATTAACCTTACGCGGGCCGGTCAAAGTCAACCAAAGGGCCGGATGTGGCCCGCGGGCCGTAAAATGCCCAGGTCTGCGGTAAAGCAATGGTGACTGGAGATGAGCTCAAGTCGCTATTCTGCTGCAGCCATGTCCTCTTGAGAAAAGAAGAATAAAGTTAATGCTGTGACCGGGAGGCGAACCTGCGCAAAACTACACTCCAGTCTGACACCCCCACCACTAAATCTGGTACAAAGCAGTTAGCGCCTAGCATGTGTATCCTGTGCCATCCAGTGTCTTTGTATATGGAATGTATGGTTTTTCTGGCGGTGTCCCAGCAGAAGTAACTTGAGAAGTAATTTGTCAGGATATCTAGGTTTCAGAACCAAGACCAGTCCATCTTCAGGGGGAGGAGGAATGCCTGGTAGTGGCCTACTTTCTTCCATTTGCAGGATAAAGCTTTACATCGACCACATTGAGCTGAGACAGGAGGAAAATGCATTATTGCATCCAAAAAAAGGTTTGGGGGTATTTCTTATGAGGAAGGCTATTGCACCATTTCCAGATATGTTGTGAGTCTGACAACTGGAAGGAATTGGACTGACTCTTGTGGAATGAGCTAGGGTTAGGCATTTGTGGTTCTGCATCGAGAACCCTCTGGAAAGAGTGGGGACAGAGTGAGTGTCTGTGGTGACAAAAGCACCAGAGCTCAGTGATGGTTACTACAATTCAGCCCAAAGGACGAATTTAGGAAACTTTACATGGAAAACTTACTAAAACTTATTCCTGCCTCAATTCGAGGTGGACAATAAAGTTTA